TTGGAGTACTGTGTCCAGTTCTGGGTGCTGCACTTCAGGAGGGATGTGGACAACATGGAGAGGGTCCAGAGGAGGGCCACCCGCATGATTGGGGGCAGCAGGGCAGGCCCTATGAGGAGAGGCTATGGGACCTGAACCTGTTCAGCCTCCACAAGAGAAGGCTGAGGGGGGATCTAGTGGCCTGTTACAAACTGGTCAGAGGGACCAGCAGGCATTGGGGGAGTCCCTGTTCCCCCGAGCACTACCAGGAGTTACCAGGAATAACGGTCACAAGCTGGCAGAGGGTAGATTTAGGCTAGACGTCAGGAGGCGCAACTTCACGGTCACAGCGACTAGGATCTGGAACCAACATCCAAGAGAAGTGGTGCTGGCTCCTACCCTGGGGGTTTTTAAGATGAGGTTAGATGAACACCTTGCTGGGGTCGTTTGACTCCAGGGCTCTTTCCTGCCGTGGCAGGGGGTCAGACTCAATGATCTGCTCAGGTCCCTTCCAACCCTACCAACTATGAAACTATGAAAACACTAGTTCAACAGGTATATTTTCATGTGCAGACAAAACCTAAAAGGGGATCAAGGGAGTCTCAAAAATGGGGAAAGTTATACGCTGAGGGAACAGAACTCGCTCAAGTTGCCGTTCATCCGTGCTTGCCTGTTCAGTGCATGGGACTTAAGCACATGCTGAAATGTTAAGCTGCATGGAGGAGGACTTAAGCACACACATAAATGATTTGCTGAACTGGGACTTGACTGTCTTTTGACAGCCCCTCTGCATGTGTCTCTCCACCTCCTGTGCCGGTATGGACAAAATCTGTCATTTGGAAGATGCATTATAATTTAGAATTTGGTTCCACAAGCCACTTGTTGAAGTTGATCAACTTTCCTCAAATAAGATGTAGTATAAAAGGGGTGGATATTTACTGGCAGCATGAATCAATTGCCCATGGATGGTTTCATGGACTGACCTAAGCTTGATGTTAGTTTTAGCATAGGAAAAGTGAGTGGAAATGGCTCTTACTAGGCCTGAAGGAAATCTCGTTGAAATCTCTGAAGGAAAGACTCGCTAGAGTGGGCTGCGTTATCTGGCTTCATGGGAAAAACTCTGTGAAGACCTTTAGATCAGTGGCGCTCAAGATTTCAGCCCAGGGGGCTGGATAAGTGGCATGGGGCCAATCTGCAGGGCGGATCTAGCAGTGTGTTAACACGTGGGGTCAGTCTGCAGGTGTGAGCCAGTTCGCAGGCCCGCCTCAGCACACCTGATCCAGCCCCGGAGTGACTCCGTGCATGGACGTGCAGGGCTGTGTCATCTGGCCCACAGGGCACCCTCAACGGGTCCAGAAATTCAGAGGCAAGGGAGCAGCGGTGGTGCTAATCACTGTGGCTCTGCAATTCATGCTGCTCCTGCTTCCCCCCTGCCAAATTTCTGGACCTGTGTGGGAAGACCCACGAGCTGGATGATACAGCCCCGTGGGCCAGATTCAGCCTGTGGATTGGAGGCTGAGCACCACCACTGCCTTGGATGAAAGGATCTGAAGCAAAGTCTATTAAGGTTTTCAAGCTGTCCCCATTGCCAAAGCATGTGAAATGAACCTAATTGACCATTAATAATTTCTGTGTCATTTCAACAAATGCAGGAGGAACACATTTATCTCATGGTAAGTCAAACAATGCTGTAATGCAGAGGCTTGTAATTCCACTTCTGCTGTAGATATACCTGTATTTATAGCATAAAAAATAGAGAGGAAAAAGTTTGCTAGTGACCATATGAATGTGGGACAGCGAGAGTCAGAGGGAGAAGCGCACTATGGAGCCAACTCTGCTCTCCTTTATGAAATCAGTGGTGATTGCATCCAGGTGACTTAGCTGAGTTTGGCCCATAATTAAGCACCAAGTCAGTAATACCAACAACTTTTACATTGTTGTCTCACCCTGAGCCCCTCCCCTACCAAACTCCAAATGCAATCTGTGACCAGCCTGTACCAGGAGCTGCCTGGTTTACCCTCCATGCATCTCAGCTCTACAAGTCTGTGGGAAAGTAGCAGAGCTAAAGACCCGTCCATCTATCCCCCCTTCCTGTTTGGCCATTCTCATAGTTTCATAGATGTTAGGGGCTGGAAGGGACCTTACAGATCATCGGGTCCAGCCCCGCTGCACATGGGCAGGAAAGACTGCTGGCATCTGATGATCTCAGCAAGATGGGCGCCAAGACATTTTTTGAAGATTGCCAGGGTGGATGACTGTACCACCTCTGCGGGGATCCTGTTCCAAACCCTCAGCACTCAGCTTGTAAGGAAGTTTTTGCCCATTATTTCAGTCAGCTTGTGCCCATTATTTCTTGTCCTCCCCTGGAGGGCCTTGGTGAATAGATGCTCCCCCAAACCCTGATGTACAGCCCTGTATACTTATAGGCTGCCACCAAGTCACCCCTGAGTCTCGTCTTCTCCAGGCTGAACAATCCCAAGTCCCTCAGTCTCTCCTCATATGTCTTGGTCTCCAAGCCTGTAATGCATGTGGCCCTCCTCTGGACTCTCTCGAGCTTCTCCACATCCTTCTTGAAGTGCAACGCCCAGAACTGGACACAGTACTCCAGTTGCGGTCTCACCAAGGCCGAGTAAAGCGGGAGGATGACATCTTTGTCTTGCTCAAGATCCCGTGGTGAACGCATGCCAGTCTTTAGTTATGGTTAGCTCTGCCAGCTACGGCATTGCATTGGTGGCTCACGTTCATTTTCTTGCAAGTCATGACACCCAGGTCTTGTTCAGTTGCAGTGCCAGCTAGCAGAGCACTGCCGAGCCTGTAAGTGTGTTGTGGGTTATTTCTCCCCAGATGGAGCAGTTTCCATTTCTCTGTATTAAGCAACATCAGGTTGAGGTCTGCCCACTTCACGAGCCTGTCCAGCTTGGCCCGTACTGCCGTCGTGTCTTCGAGCGTGGCAACACTCCCCCATAGCTTGATGTTGTCACCGAACTTTGCCAGATTACTTGTTATACTTGAATCCAAATCGTTAATGAACATGTTGAAGAGCACTTGTCCAAGTACTGACCCCTGAGGGATGCCACTGGTCACTGTCCACCGTGAAGACTCAGTTCTGTCAACCAGTACCTTTGAGTCCTACCATGGAGCTAGGTTTCCTAGCCGCCAGACTGTGAAGTAGCTGAAGCCGCATTTTCCCAATTTGACCATGAGGACATCATGGGAGACCAGGTCAAAGGCTTTTTTGAAGTCCAAGTATATGACATCAAGCTCATTTCCTTTATCCAGGTAGTGAGTAACCTGATTGTAGAAGGAAATGAGGTTGGTCTGGCATGACCTGCCCATGACAAAGCCATGTTGGCTATCCTTCAGAGTACTGCCTTCAGTTAGCCTGTGCGTGATGGTTTCTTTGATGATTTTCTCCAGGATTTTACCTGGGATTGAGGTCAAATTAATTGACCTGTAGTTTCCTGGGTCCTCCCTTCTCTCTTTTGTGAAGATAGGTAGCACATTGGCTTTTTTCTAGTCTTCTAGGACCTCTTTGAGACCCACTTAGGGTGTAAGTTGGTTTGAGAGCCTGCTTTCTTACGTGTCCTCCTTTTGACTATCAGTGTAAGGGAATCCTAAGAAGGTACCTTAGTACATCCTTAGTTTCCTGAATGAGCACACAGGGCAAGTAAAAAATTAGTAGGAACCCAAAATATTGAGAGATTTTTAGGTCAATGAAATTACTCTCGATTGCTACTAGAGCAATCAGACGCAGAATTCAGTGTCCATCTGTTCTCACCTTTTTATGCTTGTGTCACTGAAAAATGCTTGTTGACCCAATAGACTAAGCTTAGTGCAGCTGAGAGTGGCGATGACCTGTTTGTCTAAACTGGAGACAATAGACCAAAGCTCAGAACCAGGCATGATGGGCTCATGAGGAATCACTACTAAATCAGGATGCTAAAACACTTTATTATTTTCCACAACTATAGGTCCCTTCAGCAATCTCCTTTTCTGTTCAGTCATATCTTAAAAAGCAAAGTTCATGTATTAGTTTATAAAATACTAGCAGGTGTCTTGTTTTAGTAGGATGTGAAATGTTACTTTAAAGAAGGGTTTTTAGGCAGGCAAGACAGGAGGGGTGTGATCTAATTATCCAAGAGCAGACTTAGGGAGCTATTAGCAACCAAAAAATCATAGACTGATGGCTTTCTTGGTAGCTCCAGGCCTGTCACTTAACTTCACCTTAAAATAAGTATATAAACACACTGAACTATTTGCAGGGAAGCTGACAAAATCAATAGTTAATTCTGCAAAGGGTTTTGAAAAGAGAAAATGGTAGCTGTAGTCTAATCTAATTTCCCCATTATTTGTATTGGCATTAATCCAATTGACCATTTGCACGGAGACTTTGTAAACTGAAGTTGACGCTGTCAAAGTTAGTAACTCAAGTACTAAAAAGCATGGCCTGATTTTTCAGAGACACAGAGCATTTGCCACTTCCATTGGTTTAAATTTTAAATACAGAAGGAAAAGTTGTATTAGTAGCCTATGTAACTAATAGGATCCATCGCATTGTTTTGATGAAATAAATCATTTTATCACCTGCTTGATGATTACTGTAGGGTTTTATACCTTTGCTAATTAGGGGCCATGAAGCAAATAAAGAAAAAGATCCCTGCCTATGCCATCAGTGCAGCTCAGTTTCAGCAATCACAACAGTAATTGCATGGCTCCTCCAGAATGAATAGCCTTTGGATCGTCTCCAAGAGAAATCTACTGTTATCAGTGGCTAGCCACCTGCAGAGGAACCTGCAAAGGCTCATTGCTAGATAGCATTTATCTTTGAAACAAAAAATAGTCCAAGAAATAGATGCTCAGACATTTCCATCATTAATTGAGGATGGTCCAATTCAGTGAAAAACCTGTATAAAGGCTCATACGTCTTGCCTATGCCTGTCATGGGTCTGTCACATACGTGAGTAACTGAAGAACGTAGGTTAGCAGAGCCCTAAACAATAATTCTTATCCGTTTCCACAGACAGGCCAGTTTTTTGGAACAATTGTTTAATCTTGTCTGAATGGACCAGAGGAAACAACAGTACGAACAGCTACTGACTCATGTTGCATGAGCCCCTCTCATGGAAGTTTCCATTGACTCCTCGATGTGAGCTAGGAAATCATGGTCTTGGCTCTCCATTTGTGGTTGTTATTAAAACTTTAGCTACTTTTCTTTAGTTTCAAAGCTGTCAAACTGATGATAGCTAAAGGCTACCTTTTCTTCAATTTATCAGAACATAACTTTATTGGAATATTAAAAATATTTAAATGGCAAAAATTACACATTGCTTCACATGTTTGTATTAATCTCCATGATATATCTCCTTTCCAGTAAATGATAATTATTTCACAATGGACATAATTTCCAGTTTGTAGTATTTGTAATGTGGGCAATGGATGAACATTTGCTTTCAGCCTCCGTTTATGAACCTAAGTCCTGTAACTAAGGAACCATTATCCCAATTATTAAAGTTTGTTTGCCTTTTAAAGATACACTTGAGTCTGCTTTTCATATATACTAGCAGCCCTCCTTGCACTGGTAGGGACTTGCCTTACCAGAGTCATTTTAAAGTCTCTGTGGTATAAACGAGAAACAGGCTAAATTGGGTCACAACTTCCCAGATTAAAGTGCCCCATAAAGAAGCATATCTCCAGTGCACAGAAAAGCTAAGTATAGACAGTCAAAAAGCCCAAGGCTGAATCAATTCAATCTTTGCAGGTTAGTCTAAGCTGCGTAGATTGACACGATAGGGCAAGCGAACAGACATTCACTTTTGATTCCAGAAATGCAGCCGTATGTCTGCAGTGGCCCAGGCCAGAAGCTGAGGAGTGCTCAAGCATGCCTCCCTGCTCAACTGGAGCAGACAGCTTGGGCCATGGCTAGCCCACCCACCCGGCAACGGGGAGCTTGTGGGGGTGATGCAAAGCATCCGGGATGCTGGGGGGCTGCGAGATAACTTGAATCCAGAGGGGATTTGGGACAGAAGACCAATAAACCAATTTATAAATCCATTAGGTCTGATACTATGTCTATCCAGGTTTAGCTTAAACCAGTTTCAGACATTTTGA